TGTTCCGAGGCCAGATTCTGGGTCCGCTTTTGTGTGCAAAAGTCACGTCCGCTTGTGCGTGGCCTCCCCGGCAATCCGCCAATCCGACTGGACATTTGCCGCTGCCTTCCAATTTCCGATGCCCGCAAGCGCTTGGTCGCCCTGGTTTCAGATGCAAGCAAGGCGCATCGCCACCTTAAAATCTTGCCTGCAGAAGTGCTGTGCTTCCGCCACCGTGGCCATGGCAAATGAATTTCCGCACGTTTTACTATCCGCCACAAAGTTGTCAGCGCCAGGCTACTCTGGCTTTCCAACCTTTTCCGTGCATTCCAGCCGTCTCTTGGATTTTGAAACAATTTTTTTTTCTTGCTTCTGCGGAAGTAAGACTTGAAAGATAATTCTCGACTTCTCTGTTCCAGGCAACAAAGAACAGGCAGAGAGGGCTTCTTTCTTCGAACAGGAAGAAGCAAAATGGAATGTTCTTTTTAAATGTGAAAGTACCGTTGAAAAACAACAGATTTAAGAGATCTGAAGAAGAAGCCCCCGAATCCTCGCTTGTCCCTTGAAGTCCCCTTCGACAAAGATCTTCGGGCCCCTTCAAGGGGGACCCTTCAAGGGGGACCCTTGAAGCCCCCTTAAAAGTCCCCCTTGAAGCGCCCCTTGAAGACCCTTTACTGAAGGGGAGGATCCCTTTCGGCAAGCTGAGAAAGCTGCGCAGCCTGACAAAGCACCGTGAGGTCGTAGTGTTAGCGCTTTTGCTCTCTTTAATGTGTTGATGACCTGCAAAAGTCTCCACTCGAACAATAAAAAACAAAAAAAAAACAAGATTTTAGGAAGGTGGAATTTAAACTAAAATCCCTTCTCTCTTCTCTCTTGATTTTTCGAATAACGAATAACTTCTCTTCTCTCTTCTCTTCGGTTTTTCGAATAATAAAATACAAAAAACAAAAAAAAATTCGGAGGTGGAATTTAGAATTAAGCAGAGCTTCACTTACTTGGAAAACTGTGCCTTTACTGCACCTTCTAGCCTACCTGCTGCCAGCAGATGCGGTCTGGAAAGGTCTCTTACTTGCCACGGGCATGTGTTGCCTGCTGCGCTTCTTCTTTCTCCTGCAGGAAAGGCTACAGATTGGTACCCCCTTGAAGCTGATCTCTTCGATTGGCTGGCATTTGCTTGAAGAATCTGGCCTTGTTCTTCCTTAAGTCAAGCACACCATCTGAAATACTTGGTGCCTTGAACCAGCATTCTGTTCACCTTTCTTGCTGGATGCTTCTGCCCAACGCACTTTGCTAAAACACTGCAGGAATTCTTCTGCCAGTGTGTTAAAGAAAGAGGTGCGTGGTTCTCCTTTTCACGTGTGCAACTGAACATTCGTTCATTCGCAGTGTGCAAGTAGTGAACGTGGCTGTACGTGTACAAGTTTGCCCGCAACGGTTCCACCTGTTCATCTTCCACCTGCTGTGTATAGCTCAGCATTATTCCCAGGAACCTAGAATCCAGCCTACACGCAGTTCTTCCTGGAGCAATTCATCGACAATTGCAGCATTGTTCAGTGCGGACTTTCAGGCAGACTCACAACGGCGGAGCTCGGTTCCTATAGGGGAAGAAGTGTGCGAGGCCTGCAGAAGCGAGCACGGAGGAATAGGAGCGGAGAAACCCAGGGGCACGCCCACATGCAAATAAGAAAACAAGTCGGCATCAGCATCCTTGAAGATGAGGGAGAGTGTATACCAGAGAGACAGACGGAAGGGCTGGCCGTCGTCCATCGACATCAGCGTGGCCCCAAGTATCGTCCTGGCGGACTTGCAGAAACTCGCGCAAGTCGAGGAAGAACGGGCAAGTTCGTCTTCGGACAGAGGCGCAGTTTTAGCTCCGGAAGACAACGCGGTGACTATTTTGGGAACTAGGCCAGTGTGGGCCAGGCGGGCAGACCAGGCACGGCGCAGGGCCTTGAAGTGGTCGTCACTTTGCGGTCGAACGTGACAGGCGGTGCTGCCCGCGCCAGCGCCATCCTCCACCGGGAAGGGATATGCTGGTCAGGGCAGGCGAGCGGGCAACAAGTCAACCCATGTAGACAGTGTATAATCGCGGTCCTCAATTGACACGAGGACGCAGAGGGATGCAATGGAACTGGCGAGGGAGGGCGGGTAACAAGCCGTTGTTCGGGTGAGGAAACCTCCATCTGCGGTGCGTTGCCTCGACAAGGGACGATGGTAGGCGGGCAGGTGCGGGCACACGGATGCTGCCACCGACGGCCGGTTACACCAGAACAGCCAAGCTTTCGTGTAATCCAGGCCATGGGCACAAGAGGCAACGGACGCTCCGAACGGGGCAAACGCACGGACCGGACCCAGGCCATGACCTGAGGATCCAGCCACAGCAAGCTAGTAGAGGGGTTCTCCAGAAAGATGATGCCCCCACGCGCGGCCACGAGAGAAAGTAGGTGGCGTGTGCGTTGATGCAGAAGGGTTGTCATGGCGGGCTCACGCTGCTGTTTCGGAGAGGTTGGGCAGACCCAATGGAAAAGACGGCGTGCGCACGGCGGGGGACCCGGCTTTGCAAGGCGCGTGCGTGAGTAGGCTGAGCATGGCGGCGCAGCACAGCAAGCACCAATTGAGCCGGAAGCGCACAACCGACAAAGCGCGGAGTAGGTGACATCGTTGGACACGTCTAGGGCAGAGCCAGTCAGAAGATCCACTGGCTCCATGCGTGCTAGAAGGAGCTTGCGGATGGCGTTGTGAACCGGGGCCGAGGAACCAGCAAACAGGTCCAGAAACACGCGGACACCTGGGATGGGGCGACAGTGAGGCCCGGGGCAATCCTGTGAAGCACGTGGAGCCGGTGAAGGACTGGACAGGTCAGAAGCCGGTTGCTCACGAATGCCCGGGGTGACCAGGCATGCCGGCAGGAAGTGGCGAGAAGGAAAAGCAGAGTCAGCACAAGATGCGGCAGCCGGTTGCTCACGTACGCTGGCGCATGAGGGGGCGGGCAAGGCATGCTGGGCTGGCTAGGCAGAGAACGGCGCAGGACCGGTTGCTCGCAAACGCCCGGCGGTGTCGGGCGTGCCGGTTCCTTGGCCATGACGGGCCATGGTTAACGGACATTAGAGGGCTGTTTGATGTGAGAGTCGGCTGTGCACGGTCGGAACTCGGGGCTGCAGGCGGGAACGCTGTGTTGCACGGGTGCCGGTGCGGCAATAGCGCTGTGTGTGTGCAAGGATGCAGGACCCGCAGTAGCTTCGGCGCTGCTCGAATCATCTTCCGAGTCGGAAGACACCGGCACAGAGTTGCCGGATACAGAAGATAGTCAATGCGCCGTGTTCTTGTGTTCTGCTGCGGTATGTTTCTGCCCGCAGGGCTTGCCGGACGGCAGTGGGATCGGGCAGAGGTGTGAGCATAGCGGCAGTTAGGATTGGAGCACTTGCCCACGGCATACCGCTTGCAAAGTTCACGCTTACCGATCTTCTGAAACCAGGATGCCTCGAAGCCGGGCACGGCAGCAGTGCCGTCAGTCTTCTCTCTACCGCGTCCCTTGCCCTTAGACTTGGGCGCGGGCTTGCGGGCATCTTCATTGCGGGCAGAACGGGAGCGGTCCGCACGGCGGTTGTGAGGGTGCGGGGGTTAGGGGTATTAGGGTCAGCAGCGGCTTTGGCCGGTCGCGGACGAGGCTGCAAGAGGGCGGAGATGTCCTGGCGGCACGTGGAGATCTCGTTGAGGGCGTCCTCAATGGACCAGGCGTGATCACGGACCAATTCATGTATGGAGACCCGGACCGCACGGTCCGCGGCTAAGATCTCGTTGAGCGTCGGCGGGCGGAGCGACGGGTCTAGCGGAACCGCCAGGCGGTGGAGATAAACTTGTCTGTGAACCGTTTGATGGTGATCAAGTGAGTGATCTTCGTCATAGCCAATGCGGTAGCAAAGAGTGAGAGGTTGCGACGAAGCACGGACTCCAGCGGCCCATTGAGGCCCGTGGCGGAGGTCGGACCAGGCGCCTCGGACTCGTCAGCGAGCAAGGCTCGAAGCAGCTGACCGTCGGAGCGCGGACGGCGGGACTCGGACCAGGCAGCGCGGTCTGCTTCAGAAGCGCGCTGACGCCAGGGCAACCAAGGGGAGCAGGAGGAGTCATGCAGGTGCTTGATCGCAGAGCACATCTCCAGGCACGGCGTTGCGGCGGAGTTCAGGAGCTCGCCGGGGTATAAGCAGCTCCCAGGAGTCAAAGCGTTTGGCGCACGCCGCACGGAGGCACAAGGTGCAAGCAGGCGGCGGTTGCTGGACCACACTCGCCTGGTCGAGTTGGTCTGTTTGCGCGCCACACGCCGGGCGGAGCCAACACAGGTGGGCAGGAAACCACAGCGCGCGGGGAGCATCCGGATCACAGGAGGACGCAGCGTGTGTAACGTTGCTGCGCGAATTATAGAGCAAGAGGGCAGGGGTGGAGGACGGCGAGGGAGGTTGCAGCGCAGCGGCGCACTCCACCGGAAGGCGGCTCCGAACAGACCGATCCACAGTCATTCTCAGAAGAGCAACTAGACACTGGCGGGGTGGGTGCTCTGGAAGGAGGTCCGGAAGGAGTGGCAAGTCCGGGTCTTGGGCAAACGGGACAAGCGGAGTGGCGGCTTCTGCAGGATGCACTGCACTGGTGTGCCTGGAGCTGAATGTGGGCCAGTGTGCTCAGCTTCCTCCCCCGTGGCATGAGCAGGAGGGGGGGCGACAGGTGCAGCTGACCAGCGGACACGCGGCAAGCCAGCAGCTGACGGCAGCTCCGTTGGAAAATCCGGAAGCGGATGATCTGAACCCCGAGCCAGTGGCTGAAGCGGACGAAAGCCAGCGCGGATGCATGAAATCACGGTGCGTTGGCAACACAACATTGGGCCGATATCATCACGGCTGTAGAGTGCAACGGATTTGTCCGAACCTGACAGCCGATGATGGCCTTGAATGCGTCTGGGCTCAGCAGGCATGTCCAACTGGCGGGCCCAAGACAGGAGTGTGGTCTTAGCCGAGTGAGCGGCTATTAGGTTAAACGCAGAAGGCATCGGCTCCGAGCTGTGCAGATTCCAATGGTGGCAAAGGAGACTGCGGATCCACGGCACTGCGCATGCTTGGTCCCGGAACAGCGGCTTGACAATGACCGGGTGACCGGCGTCGGCAGAAAGGATGGCGGGCAAGAAATCGATGACGCGGTGTGGGTGCAAGGCATTGGTGTCCGCAAGAACTTGCTTGACAACTTACAACCAGCGGGTCGTCCAGGAGGACGCGGCGGAAACCCAAAAGGCCGGGCGAATAGATGCCCCAAGGCATCCCGGATTTAGTGGTCTTCGTGCGAATACAGATGCCCACCAAGGCAGCGGAGGGCGCTTGAAAATGCAAGCGGGCTGGCGGAACCCACAGAAGGTCACCCCAGCGGAGTGAAGCCCAAATTGCGCACAGCAAAACACCCAACATGTAAGTCTCTGCAGGCAGCGTGTCCGGGCAGAGAACGCGGGCCTCCAACCAAGCCGTGAAGCTCAATGAGAAGGGAAGGCTTTCGCGGTGCTCAAGTGGGGCAGATGGAGAAAGAAAGGCTCGGGCAATAGCACCCTCAAGCTGGCGGCGCAGGAGCGGAAGACCAGCCTTTCTAGAAAACCAGGACAGAGCCTTGAAGGGCATGGTGGCCAGGCCTTGGGGACTAGAGCGGGCACGCAACCAGTCTGGCAACACACCTGGTTGCGGATCGTGTGCTGACGATCGGCGAATCTCACAGTGCAAACACCAGGCGGCCCACATGACTAGATAGCGTTGTAGAGTTCAAGGCGCGTTTGTTATAACAACACGACTGATGAAGAAATCCGGGTCGGATGAAGCGGATGCCTCCACAAAAAGAGCCGAGAAGCTGGCCAAAAGGTTGACAAAAAACAACCAGCGTGCAATGAGTTTGTCCCGAGCAGCTTCGAAAGCACACGTGCAGGGAAGCGGAGCCGTAAGCTTGCGTATGTAGGCGGCCGGCTTAGCACAGGGCGTCACTGCGATTGTAGCGGGCCCAGGAGGGGCCAAGGCGGGCAGTGAACGTGCACGCAGTTTAGGGGCTGGTAAGGGCGGGATTAGGGTCGGGGCCAGGGCTCTGAATGAGCGCTTAGGCGGGTTAGGGATTGCAGGTTTAAGGGCCACGGCGGCAGCAACTAGGCCTGGCGGCCGGTATGCCGGATTGAGGAACCATCAAGCCAACGCGGAATATTGCGAGAGGGCACAATTGGTTGGCAGGATGCCGGGCACGGTGCAGCTGACACCAACGAGAAGGAGCCAGCAGAGCCTGAAGACAAAGGAGAAGGTTTCGGCGTTGCAGGCGGGGATGCAGGAGAAGCAGGCAGGCTTGGCAACGGTGATGCCGGCAGGCCGGCCAAAGCGGCAGGCCTAGAAGCAGCAGGCTCTGCGTGCACAGACGGGGAAGACAGTATGCCGGAAGGGTGCAGGAGTCCGCTGGAGACGGCATTCTGTTCAGGAGCGGCTTGCTCCAGCAAAGGCGGGGGCGCAGGCTCCACTGCAGCGGCTGCGCCAGAAAGTGGACTGACATGAAGGTCTTGAGCAACAGCTGAAGCATCCGGAGACGCGTCCACAGAGTGCACGGGACCAGCATCGAGGTCTTGGACGTGTCGGCCAGGCAGAGGGTGCACAGGGAGAAATGCATGGGCGTCCGGAGGTGGGTGCAGTTGTGAAGTAGGAGCACCAACGGACGACAAGGGATGCGACACAGCCGGGGGTGGAATGCAAGCGGCCTGGGGGGGGTCCGAAGGTGGGTGCACGGAAGGTGGAGAAGCACCAACAGACAGGCCAGGTGGCACCGGGGGAACGACAGCCGGTATGAGATGTGTCAGGCAAGGGGCCAAGGGGGCGGACGAGCGGACAACATCAGGCGACGGTAGCACCGGTGCAGGACAAGGAGAATCATGCTCGTCCATGGCGATGAGGATGTCCTGGCGGGAGCGTCCCTGAACAGCCCTGAACAGAACTAAAGGGAACCAACCCCAGGGAAAAAGTGCAGCTGCAGAACGCGAAACACGGGCAGCTTTTTTCAAGGCAGGGCGCGTGCGAAAGGCACTGTGGCCAGAAGCAAAGGGCAAAAAGCATGGAGCGGAGGAGCCAGAGCGGAAAAGCCGCGGCCGCGTAGGAAGTTACAGAACCTTGAGGCTTAATTGTAAAGGAGGCGGCCGGGCGGCAATTCAGCAAAGGCAACTCCGCGGAAACCGGGCGGCTCAGGAGTGCAAACGGTGACAGGCGGAGCACTGGTGTTCCTTCTGCCCGGACCTCTCGCCGAACATGACCGGGCGGAAGCAGAGGCCTGTGCAGGTGGGGGCACGGTCCGGCGAGTCAAAGGCGGAGCAGATGTGGGTACAGTACCCGCGGAGGCGGAGGTGGCTGACAGCATCCGCGGGCGGCTGCAAGCGGACATACAACCGCCGCGGAATCTCGTCCGGATGCACGCAAAACATGTCCGGATACGGCCACCATGGCGGGCGGACAACAGTGCAGGCGGAAGCGGGCAGAGCAATTTGTGCTCCATGCACGGGCCCTGGTTAGGGGAGTCCGTGAAGCCCGGATCGAAGTTGAGCGCCTCATCGGGCCGCGGGTCGGTGGCGGCAGTGGGCAAATGGCCGGCAGGCGGTCGCGGTCAGTGCGGACCACGGAGGCTGGGGAGTCAGCGGGCACGGCGCGATGGCCGATGTTGGGATCGAAGTGCATGTTGTCCTGGCGGATGGGGCGCGGAGCAACGGGCGTGCGGGCCGGACGGGTTGAGAAAAGCTCCGGGGTTGCAGCAGGGGCAGGCGTGCTGGCAGGCGTGTTGGCAGGCGGTGTTTGGTCAGGCAACGGGCCAGTGTAGACCCCCGTCGCGGTGCTGTGGTGCCAATCCCGTTCGCGGGACCAGGCTGCAGGATCATGCGCTGGCGGTGCAGGCGGTGGCGTGGCATCCTGGGGCGGCTGGGCGGCATCATCCTCGGACGACGTGGCATCGGCCCAGCGGTCAGACCTGAGGGTGCGGGTGATGCGGCGGCCAGAGGGCTGCATGCGGGACAAGATGTCGGCAGGGAGGTGAAAGAGCCTGTCCATGAGGACGTCATGGCACACGTCCGACACAAAGCAAACGGACTGCACATCCAGGGAGGCAAGGGCAAGTGCGGAGTCCTCGTGCTCGGGCTCGCAGATAGTGCGCCAGGCTCGGACGAGCTCAGCGTGACGGGCGGATCTGCGAGCTTGCTCATCAGCACGGGCATCAGCGGAATCCTGGGCAGAAGGGCCGGCAGCAGGCGGAACCTGGGCTTGGGCGGCTGCAACCGCGGCGGCAGTGGCTTCGGCAGGAGTCGGCGTCTGACGGGAAGCCATGGCACCAAACAGGGGGAAACAGTCGAAGTTGACGCAGAAGCTTGAGAACATCTGAAAGCGGCTGGCAAACAAGCAGCAAAATACTCAAACACAGCATGCGGTTGCAAGTGCAGGGCAGTTGAAGACAGAAAGAAAGACTGTAAAAAACAGACAGACATCAACAACAAAAGAAAACCCTGTCCTCGATGACTCGATGTGCGAGTGGCCAGCACCAAGTGCGTGTAGCCAGCCTAAGTCAGCGGACAGCAGGCGGAGCACAGAGGAAACGCGCAGCGGTAAAGAAACCGAGCGCGGCACAGAACTGGGCGTGAGCCGCACCAGACGTGCAAGCCTGAGTCAGCGGACAGCAGGCATATCAACAGTGAGGACACAGCGGGCAGCAGAAAGCATGCCGAGTGTCGCGCAAGCTGGACGTGAACCGTTCCAGAGGCGGCACGCCTGAGTCAGCGGACAGCAGGCGGAGGGTTCAAAGAACCGGGCACAGCGACGCGCTAAACATTAGCGGCCGAGTACCGCACCAACTGGACGTGAGCCGTTCCAGTCGTGCCAGTTCGCGACTGCAGCGGCAGACGGAACAGGTTCCTCTGCAGCGGCAGCAGGAACAGGCTCAGCACTAGCGAAGCTGAGTGAGAACCGAGAGTCGGGCAAACTGAAGACCGGACTCTAGCTCTGGGTGAATGAAACACGCCGGAGCGAGCAAGCCATGGCTCAGGCGGATAAGAAAATGCACAAAGTCTACACCGGGTCCAAAAGTTGAAACTGAATCCGAACGGACTAGATGCACAAATCCGCCTGTCGAGCCAGCAGCTACACAGCAGGCGGGAGGGGGATGAACAGGCGGAACATGCTGTGCCGTTGCGCGCGGGCAGCAAACACACTTGTACACGTACAGCCACGTTTTAGACGCTTTCCAACAGCACGCACAACCTGCTTTTTTGCACTTGTCTGAAATCTTCTGAACGTACAAAAAAAAATGCGGCGAATCGTGCCCCAAATTGAGGCTGTAAGACAGAAAATAACTGGCACTGGAGACTCCAGCCGCTCCTTCTCACTCACTTCACAATCTTCTGTGACCGTCACACAGGAACTTGACTTTGGGTCGTTTAGAAGTCTAGAATCACTTTCTGACCTGTCTGTCGATGGACCCCTATGGAAACCTCATGCAGCCTCAAGCCTCAAATGAAGCACAGAGCCACCGAATGGGAAACCTGGAAGCTTCTCCAGTTCCAAAACTGAATGCTGACCTGAAAAACCAAGAATGGCCAGCTCCACGGAAAGACACGTGGCCTGGACTGTGGCTCAGGAAGAGTCCGACGGATCAAGGTTCAAGACCGGTGGCGGCAAAAAAACAGAAAAAGCGCAGCTTTGCATTCCGCATGTGCCGGCCAAAACACGCCTCTTCAGAGGAGAGGTTGCCTCCGTCCTTACATGGCGGCATGTTTTGGAGAAGTGCTCTGCTTGAGGAAAACGGCCAGGGGCGATTTCTCTGGCAGCGAGGATGGACCTCGACTTCGTAATCATCCTCTTCGGGATGCTACCAGGATCTCGATCAACAGCCTGACAAAATGGTCCCTCAAGGCCTCTATGCACCTGGTGCAGGCTGTGAGAGGGAATCGGTGAGGGGTTATGCCCTGGTAGCGAGGATGAAACCTCTGCTGTGTCCTCGCTGGGAGGATGCAACCTCCTAGGCTGCATCAGCCGGTGGTCCCAGCGAGGCTCTTCCATGATGTTGCCAAGGGGTCTTGCCAACCCATCGTCTGCAAAGGAAGTTCGAACAGAACTTTCATGTCGATCAGAGCCTCGACAAAACAGCTGTCCATTGATTTAATTCGTGCACCAAAAGGCTCGCGAGCAGTGGGATGCTGGCATGATGGAGGTTACCCACCTCCTGACTTTTGCTGCTCAGGCTGGGGGAGTCCTGATCAAACCAGCGAAAGAAAGAAACCAGCCGATTGAGGCTTGGGAAACCATAGTGCTCTCGGGTTCCCCAATCGCCACATCTAGGCTTGTGAGACGACGGTATTTGGGCATCCCCAAATACCCCCAGTTGTGCTCCCCTTGATCCCGGGGGTGGAGGTAGACGAAGTCCGCACCAGAAGCAGACCATAATGCACATCTGGAGGAATGAACCATCCGGGGTGGGGCAAATCGGTGGCTTCGCACTGGGTTATTTTGTCTGTTGCCCATGCCCAGCTGACTTGGCTCAGCTGGCACTGTACTGCTGCAGCTGGACACAGCTGGCTCACTTGCATCAACAGCGCATCGCTCTTCTGCGAGGGCCTCTTGGCCACCGTGGCCCAGACAGCCCACAGGCCGATATCGTGCACATGGCCAGCAGCCCCGCCGGCTCTGGTCCGCCTGACTTGCAAGCTCCCACTGGATGTCCGACCTCTTTGCCTTCAAGATCTTTG